TTTTTTAATTAAATTACTAATTTTTATTATAATTAAAAAAATAATAATTTTTTGCGGGTGGGGGCGGGGCGGGTGCGCGGGTGCACCCGTTTTCTACTGGGGGCGTGTCTGGGTGGTAAATTTTCACCCCCGATTGGATTTGGGGACGGGGGCGGGTATGTTACATGGAGGCGGGTGCGGGTGTGGGTATAGTTAAACCCACCCCGACCCGCCCCGTTGCCATCCCTAAAAGGTAGTGATGTTCCCACCATCTCTCTTTGAACTACATTGAAATTCAAATGGTAACCACTGTGCATTAAATCTCATTCTAAAATTTCTAGTTAAAACATCTTTTTTCCTCAATGTTTTTAGTGTCATTTTTGGTTCAACGAGTCAACCTTTGTAGTCTTGTTTTAAAATACCAACTTTACTTGGTTAGCTTGGTCAATGTGGTCAATGAAAAAGAGAAAAAGTATGTTAACTTTCAACGCAGACCTGTCCCATCTTTTTTTCTCAATGTTTTTAGTGTCATTTTTGGTTCAACAGTCAGCCTTTGTAGTCTTGTTTCCTAGATTCCTAAAATCACATCAAAAGTCAAAACCCTTTAACATTGGAGTAACGTGTACACTGCTCTTAGGACACTTGTTAACATGATCTTTGATTATTGTTCTTGAAAACATCAAATGTAAATTATGAAATAGACATTGAAATAAAAAAGAATATGCACACTATTAATTACTATGATAATGTATTGATACATATTTGCCTATAATATGAAACTGTGTTACACAAGCTAAGACTCACTCTAATGCACGATTTTTCTCTATCGTTAAATATAGGACAATTAGAAGATCAAATGACTCGTATACACCAAACGACATCCACAAAGAGCACACCGGTTATAAGTAGTCAAACACAATATATAAAACATCATTAGCTCAATAATACCAAACTTTTACATGATTTTTGGTCATCAGTCCATTTTTCAACCTACAATAGACTAAACAACAAAGGGAAAGAAAACAAAGACAAAATACAATGCAAAAACCAAATCAAATGTTCATTCACAGCCATATGCCATCACAATTACTTATATCTCACATCCTTGCGGTGTTTCCAAATCAAATCTGGTTGATCATGATTCTTTCCAACAACCCCACAAAAAACTACTGCTGCAAACCACATAGCTAGTACTTTCCCTGCATAATCATCACCACCGATACGACACATATAAAAAGCTACCTTAGTCTTAATTAGCATTAAGGCCAGAGTCTTTACAACATGATGCATGCCAAAATTTTCAATTCACTGTATGCCAATATAAATGACAAATGCAGCGTATAGAACCAAAGCTAATCGATGGATAAGATCAAACACAGAAGTATCAACCTTACCAACCTCAACTAGGTTTTGTTGAAAGTGATGTTACCAACCTCACCGAGGGTTTTTGTTGTTGATAAATATTTGACAGATTGCCACAAAAGCAAAAAGAACCTTAAAGAAGCGTCAACCATTTCAAAGAAGTGATTTTGGATCATCTCCTCAACTTCAATCAGATCAACGGGTTGAAACTGACGAGCTGTAGCACGAAGAGGAGGTTGCGGATTCTCTTCATCGAGGAAATGGGAGATTCTCTTCCTCGCGAGGAAATGGCGGATTCTCTTCATCATGTTCTCCTTCTACCACTGGTAGAAGGAGAACATGATGAAGAGAATCCACCATTTCCTCGCGATGAAGAGAATCCGCCATTTCCCGCAATCTCCTCCTCGTGCTACAGCTCTTCAGTTTCAACCCGTTGATCCGATTGAAGTTGAGGAGATGATCGAAAGGCCCTTTAGTTGACGCTTCTTTAAGGTTCTTTTTGCTTATGGGAAAATCTGTCAAATATTTATCAACAACAAAACCCTTGTGAAGTTGGTAACAACACTGTCAACAAAACCCTAGTTGAGGTTGGTAAGGTTGATACTTTTGGGTTTGATCTTATCCATCGATTAGCTTTGTTTCTATAAGCTGCATTTGTCATTTACAATAGCATACTGTGAATTGAAAATTTTGGCATGCATCATGTTGGAAAGACTCTGGACTTAATGCTAATTAAACCAGCTTTTTATATGTGTCATATCGGTGGTGATGATTATGCAGGTAAAGTACTAGCTAGCAGCAGAAGTTTTGTTTTGTGAGGTTGCTAAAAAAATCATGATCAAATTTGATTTGGAAACACAGCAAGAATGTGAGATATGAGAGATAAGTAGTTGTGATGGCATATGGCTGTGAATGAAAATTTGACCGATTTGATTTGGTTTTTGCATTGTATTTTCTATACAGTTTTTTTTGTTTTCTTTCCCTTTGTTGTTTAGTCTGTTGTAGGTTGAAAAATTGACTGATGACCAAAAATCCTGTAAAAGTTTGGTATTATTGAGCTAATGATGTTTTATATATTGTATTTGACTACCTATAACTGGGGTGCTCTATGTGGATGTTGTTTGGTGTATATGAGTCATTCGATCTTCTAATTGTGTCGTACCTCGAAAAAAGCACGATCCTTCGCGAATGGTCGCGGAAAACACAGAGTCGCCACCGAACTTTATTTATCCCAAAAAAGGGAAAGGAAAATATCGATATAACCTTTAGGGAAAGGACATGGTCATCGCAACCAAGTTCTAGGTTCGGGAGTCGGTTACATGAGGGGAAGGTATTAGCACCCCTCACGTCCGTTGTACTCAACGGGAACCTCTTGATTCGATTCGTAAGAAAAGTTAGTCTAGTTTGTTTGTGTTCTTCAAAAATAAAAGGTAAAAAGGTAAATGTACAGAGTTTAGAATGCTAAGGAGAAATGGAGGTTTTAAAAAAAAGTGCTCGCCAAGGATTGGGGCCCTTGTGCCTACGTATTTTCACTTGAAAAAAGTGAAGAATCAGAGCATCCGTAGTTCGTGGCACTACGGGTAAAGGAAGGAATTAGAATTGGAATTTTGGGAAAATGTGCTCGCCAAGTTCATCGCAATGTTGTGCCTACGTATTCTCGTTAACAGACGAGAAATCAGGCGTCCGTAGTTCGGACTACGGGAAAAGGTCTCGATCGCACTAGAGCGAGAGACAAGGTTTTGCATAACAGGTTGGTCTCGATTACACTGGGGAAAGAGAAAGGGTAAGTTAGTTTTTAGTGTGCTCGTCAAGGATAGAGATCCTCGTACCTACGTATCTTACATTCAAAAGAGAATGAAGAATCAGAGCAGTCGTAGTTCAGCCTACGGTTGCCGATTTGATTTAATGAAAGATACTTAGTCGTATTCGACAGAAAAATATTGTTTTATCTAAACTAGTGAGGAGATGACGCTTGCACTAGGGCGAGAAAAGATTTGAATAAGTTAAGGTTTTGATCGCACAAGGGCGAGAAACCGAGGTTTAATGTAGTTGACATTTAGCTAGAGGTGACGATTACCTGAAGCTTAAGAAAGGCTTCTCGGACCTAAGTAATCGGGAAAGCGAGTCAAAGGCTTGACTCCCTCTCTTTTTCATCTCAAATGCGAAAGGATAGTATGAAGTTCGAGTAAGTTAATCGGATGACGATTACTCGAAGATTAAGAAAGGCTTATCTGACCCAAATAATCGGGAAACTGAGTCAAAGGCTTGACTTTCTCTCTTTTTCATCCTTAACAGAAAAGGAATGGATATAGTTCGAGTAAGTGGATCAGATGACGATTACTCGAAGCTTAAGAAAGGCTTCTCGGGCCTAAGTAATCGGGAAAGCGAGTCAAAAGCTTGAGTCTCTCTCTTTTTCATCCTTAACGGAGAAGGAATGGATATGGTTCGAGTAAGTGGATCAGATGACGATTACTCGAAGCTTAAGAAAGGCTTATCGGGTCCAAGTAATCGGGAAAGCGAGTCAAAGGCTTGACTCTCCCTCTTTTTCATCTTATATTAAGAAATGCTAGGATGTGGTTCGAGTAAGTTGATCGGATGACGATTAATTGAAACTTAAGAAAGGCTTTTCGGGCCCAAGTAATCGGGAGAGTGGGGCAAAGGCTTGACCCTCTCTCTTTTTCACCCTTAAAGCGAAAGGATAGGACGTGGTTCGAGTAAGTTGATCGGATAACGATTACTCGAAACTTAAGAAAGGCTTCTCGGACCCAAGTAATCGGGAGAGTGGATCAAAGGCTTGACCCTCTCTCTTTTTCATCCAAGTGTTAGGAAAAATGGATTTTGAGTTTGTCGTATTGTACATCTTTTAGAGAAGACAATTGTTTGGACTTAAGAAAGGCTCTTCGGGCCCAAAACAATCGAGAAGAGAAATCAAAGGCTCGATTCCAACTCCCTTTTCATCTTTATCAAAAATGTGTTTTACATATGATTAAGTGTTTTAGTTTGATTTGAGAAAATACTCGATGTGAATCGAGCTTGAATTTATGTGTTTGAACTAAACAGTAAGAAAACCCTAATTGGGAAGGGTAAGGTCGATAGCGAGGCAAAAACGCTCGACTTACAAGAGCGAAAATAGCTCAACATTGAATCGAGAATTTATTTCAGAAAAGGCTTAAAACATCAGAGCATAAGTAAATGCTTTAATTTTAATCCTCAGAACTAAATGTTTTAGTTGTTTTGCTAGTTTTTATGTTTAAAATGTTACTAATCAGCAAACTTTAATTCCTAAAAAACCTAATTAATAATCTTAAAATTAAAAAAAATTAATTCTAATACTAATTTAGAAACTAATCCTAAAATTAAGGAAAACTAATAAACTCAAAGCTAATCCTAAAATCAATCCTAAAATAAAAATACCTAATCCTTAAAATTATAATTTTAATCTTAAAACCTAAAGTTAAACTATTAACCATAAAATTAAAACTAAATCTAAAGTTAAAAATTAATCATAAATGCGAATTAAAGGACAGCAAGCTCTAACCACAAAAGCAATAAACGTGAACCAGGAAACGAGGCAAACTCTAATCACACCATATCAACGTGAACCGTGATGAGTTAAACAAGATGGGGAATAGGAAAAAACCTTTTGATCTTCTCCGGATATGGGTTCTTCTTCTTCACCCTTTTATTTTCGCCCTCTGCCGTATTACTTTCTCCTCAGTCTCTCTCGCGGCGGCGTCTCCGGGAGTCATGGTGGAGGACCGAAGGGATCAGAGAGTGATGAAGATTTGTTTGAAAGCGGCATCAATACACAATCTTTGGCGTTGATAGCGTTGTATTTTCGATGGCTTAACATCTCGTTCATCACATGTTCGATGAAAGTACTGTTATTGCTTGGATTGCTGTTGAGGTTATTGTTGCTTGGAGAGGGGAACAGAGAAGTTGTTGTGGCTGCGTGGATACGATGTGGTTGTTGTCGTAAATGTCGAAATAACGATGGAAGGAGGAAATCAGTTATAAGGTCCTCAGAAACAGGTTGAGTTTGATGAGTTATGAGGTGAGCACTGGGAGTCACGTAGCTGCTACTTTGAGAGTTGATGGAGCTAGAAGGCGTCCAAGAGCCTATGGTAAAACCATCCGCTGTTGTAGTATGAGGACCAATCCTTGCATATCATAGACTGAAACCTCTCATATCAGTGCATGAATTCAAAATGGTTTTGGTCACTATGGAGCCATGCAACATTCCTGACTGAAACAGGGGATTTGTCTGCAGCAGGTCGATTTACATCATAAACTCAGAATTTTCTTTGCTATTCCAGTGAGCAAAAGGTGAGCGTCCAACGGCAGAGTCACGACAGTTCTTTGTTAGCAAGTCAATCACGGCAACACATACTTCTATCATGTTGATCGAACCGATTGAAACAAGAGCAACAATCGAAATAAAACAAACGGTAGCCTGTACCCAGCTTGTTATTGTTTGGAAATGATGGTGAGCTGAACTTGATGGAATTGATAATTGTTGAACTCGTGTTGTTGATGCTAGGAAGGTGCTGAGTTCTTGGTGATGTGAACGGCCTATGATGTTCTTGTTGGCCTCTCCTCTTGTGGAAGATTTCTCAACCCAGACATATCGTCAGCTAATAATGTTGGGTGATTCACAACTCCAAAATACAGCCTTCTCCAATCATAGCTTGAAAGAGTCCAAAAGCTTTATCAGGTGGCTAACAGTTTCCAAACACCGCTATCAACTTGATGAGTACAGTAATGTAAGATCTGTACTCAAGCTCACGCAGCAGTTTGAAGCTTTGGGAGCAGATTCTCAACGCAAGTCTTTTCATGTTTATTTTTTGTTTTGGTATTTGTGATGTAAGTTAAACAGTGGAGGAATTAAATGAAGCAGATTGTAAGAAAAAAATGGTGGAAGAAATAAAGTGAGGGTAAATGTTATATGGTTTATATTAAGGTGAGGTAACTGATGAAGAACAGCGTGAGGTTAAAGAGAGTTCATGAGAATGGTAGAGGTGGAGGGACTCGTTGGTGCTGCGAAAGTTGTGGCAAGAGTCAGCCTACACATCTTAGTTTCGTCATAAGTGCAAGGCTGGTATGTATTTTTTGATAGTTTATGATTTCTGTTGAAGCATAACAGATACTGTGACTTTGCGGCTGTTACGGTAATGCAGGATTTGTGAGGTTGTTATGTGAGTTTTATGGAAGAGGGCTGTTGGTTGTTTCAGCACAGCGAAAAGAAAGCAACAAAAGCAGTGAGTTTCACGGCAGAGGGGTTTATTTGTGAAAAAACCAAAAGAAAGTTGTTGAAGAAATTTAAAGTTTTAAATGAAGAACAGGGGTGTAAACATGATGGTTACTAAGAAGCAGGTTAGAATTTCCTTGCAGTTTTTTTCTCATTCTGCTTTCAAATCCCCCCTCCTTTCTGCGGTTCTCTCCCTCTTTTATTGTCTCTTCCTCTCTTAAAAAAAAAGAAAAAAAAACCTTCAAAACTTGTTCAAAAAGTTTTGGTACCAAAACTGATATGTCGTTTTCATTGCAGGTCGTAGGCTGTGTTGTGTAGGTTTGCAGGGTTTGTCTTATTCTGCAGTATACAGAGATAGAGTAGCAGCAGTGCAGGTAGTGGGGTCCGGCATGCTGGTAGACTTGGTGGTACAGATTTGTTGAATTCATATTGTAATGTACCGTTTTTCATTACTTTTATTTTGATTTGAAAACTGATATGCAGGATACATACTTGTTATTTTGATTTGAAAACTGATATGGTTTGTTTGCAGATTTTGGTTTCAAATATAAGGATTATTTTTGAAACAGGATGTCGTGTAGCAGTGGGGCAGAACTTGAGTTTTGAATTATTAACATTTTTGAACCTTTGTTGTTACATGGTCGATGCACTTTTTGGGATGTAGCATGGGCTTCCTCTTATATTTGAAGTGGGTCTCTTTATTTCCTGTAACAAACACTAGTAACACAACTTAACTTGGTGATGGGTTTTATAGAAATTTGAAAGGACTTAAAATGAAATGATACAGTTTGGACAGTAAAATAAAGATGAATAATGGACTTTGTAAATGATCATGAAATTTAAAACGGAAATATGGATGTTGGATTGTAAAACAGATAAAATGGATAAAAATAAATATGAGGTATTATGGATGTATAAATGGATTAAAATGGGTAAAAGATTTAAAAATAATGAGAAGAAGTTGTTGATGAATGGATTCTGAAAAATAAAATAGAAAGTGAATTCAAATGAGATAAGGACGGGTTTAGTGGTTTAACAATGAAACAAACTATTGGATGAATTGGATTGGAATACAAATGAAACAAACAATCCACATCACATAAAACCCTTAATGCCACAAATCATGAACAAACAACACCAACTTGAAATGATCTTGAATCGAATATCATGCTTGAATCCTCACTTAAAAGACAAGAACGTGAACCGTATGAACAATATTTCCCAATAACCTGAGGTGCCTCATTGTTTGATAGCACTGCAACTTGATTTCAAAGAATCTGACTTGCCATGAAATCTGATTTGGTAATTGTTAAGCATAGAGCATAGGTCCATGACAAAAATCCACCCTGAGAACCACAAAGTCTTCTTCTACCAAACTGCTGACAAAACCCTAAACAAACTACATCTTGTGATAATTCAGAGAAACTGAAGTCGTGCATTAATAATCCTCTAATAGGAACTGATTATGGCAATTGAAAGCCCAACACCACTGTCTCAAACTTGAGTATCATAATTGAAAGAAACAATCTTTGGATCAATAGCACTCCAACTCAAAAGAAAACCTCTCGTTTAACCCTAATTGAAACTTCTAAAGTCTAATCTCTAATTCATAAAAGAAACAAATCAAACAAAGCGGATAAATTGGTTAATTATGCAATATGATTGATCTAGAATGATATGCACAAGATCAAATAATCTGAGCGTAAAATTTGGAGTATGACAAATATTCCTATATTTAACGAAGAGAAAAATTCTAATTTGGTGCATTCCAGTGAGTCTTAGCTTGTGTAACACAGTTTCATATTATAGGCCGTAGCAAATATGTATCAATACATTATCATAGTAATTAATAGTGTGCATATTCTTCTTTATTTCGGTGTCTATTTCATAATTTATATCTGATGTTTTCAAGAACAATAATCAAAGATCATGTTAACAAGTGTCCTAAAGCAGTGTACATGTTGAACCAAGAATGGCACTAAAAACATTGAGGAAAAAAATGTTTTAACTAGAAATTTTAGAATGGGATTTAATGGTCAGTGGTTACCATTTGAATTTCAATGTAGTTCAAAGAGAGATGGTGGAAACATCTACCTTTCTCCTGTGTGTTTAGTATTAGATTGGGAGAGAAAATCTAAAATGCGGCCGTGACCTCCTTGATATGGTCAATTCAATTTCTCCTTTACAAGAAAAAATCTAAAATGAAAATAACAATTTAGGAGATAAAATCTAAAATGAAAATAAAAGATATTTTTGAGAGAAAAAATTTAAAATCCACTTTACAAGAAAACTAATTAAACAAATAGTATTAAAATTATTAAATCTAATTAAACTAGGATAGGCATATCGTTCGAATTAGGAATTAGGGTTCACCTACTTTAAAAATTTTAAACAACACTAGTAATTTTACCGATGATAGACGAAACGACCACAACTCAAGGCGTGCACCTCGAGAGTGGTCATTTAAGGATTCAAGGAATGCTAGACTCCAAAAACCCACTACTTCATCATTTAATTAAGAAAATATTTTAGTGTTGAAAAAATATTGAATTGGGATAAGAATATTTAACCGTGAATAAAAAAACTTAGCATTAAAACTACCCATTCTAATTATTTAATTAATATGTTTACTTATCTATTAGTCTAGTAATGAGAAAATAAAATAATACAATAAGGATTCTATAATTTAGAGATAATTGCATGATTAATTATTGAATCAATTATTTATAAAAAAAAAATAATGTTTTTATTTTAACTATACCTAAATCTTTAATTGTTCATTGGTTCCCCTATTATGAATATAGTTAGTAAAGAGAAATCAAATTCATGTGCCTGCGAACCAGTTACACGTTGTTCATGGTTAGCAGTTTTCTCACCAACTCAGTTAATGCTAGATGCTGCTAAACTCTGGCTATTTGTGATGTGTAAATTTCTATAGCATTTCTTATGCTGTTATTATGTCTTTGATTTGTGAATTTGTTTATTATGGTTTACACCTTATATATGAAACTCAGGTTTGCTGTGTTCACTTGTACGCATAATTCTTCTTTTCATGTGCATGATGTGAGCTTGGTATAAGAGTATCATGGCCTAAATCAGAGTTTGGAATTTGCATTGAGAAAGAGCTTAGAACAATAGACTCAGCATGGAGGAGAGGACTTGGTATGAAGAGGAATTCCACGGCTTACTTTTCCACTTAAAAAGTGTCTAAGGACTCAATTAGTTTTACAAATGTACATCATGTTCTTGTATTCCTTTGTAATAAAGACTTAGTATAGAATCTTCTGCTCTGTATTTTTCAATTCAAACCATCTGTAGCTTTGAGCCTCAAAATGTACGATGACTTTGAAATTAATTTGAAATCAAATGGAATTTGTGTCCATCTTGCAACAATCCTGGAACTCTGTAATTTTAATCTTTGTAGTGAATCCAAATTAACTCGTGAATGTTGCCTTATTTTTTTACCCTTTGACTGTGCATTGAAGATGATTGGCATGCTGCCTAAAACACGACCCCTTGAAACATGACTACATGCTGCCTAAAATACAGTTACATATTGCCTGACAGCACCTTAAAGCATGACCTGCAAAATAACTGGTGTCTTTATAGAAACCTTGCAACATATTTCACTATATAATCTCTTGAGACAACTTGCAGTTAATCATACTCTAATACCCCCATAGCCTAAAAAACTACTCACGTTGTAACAGCGAGCAAGCGGAGCAAGTGGAGGAACTTTTTCAAGTATCACACTTTTTGGGTCTGAAGAAGCGGAGGAGCTTCTACAGT